AATAGCAACACTAGGCAATGATTGCTCTCAACAGTGTGTTATATAAAAAGGCAGAGCTGGTGTGATGTATACTAAGTATTTGGCAGGTAATGATAGAAACACTGAAAATTTGGGGTCAGTCAGGGCTAAGAGATGACTCAGCAGTACTAGCTGTAGTTTCAGAAACTACAGTTACAAGGGGTCCAATGCCCTACTCCTGGTGTGCCCATGGTAAGTAGACATACATGAAAGCAAAACACGAGAGGAGAGAGAGAGAGAGATATTGGTGTATTGGCACATGCCTTTAAATACAACCACCTGGAAAGTGGAGGATAAAGGATCAGGAATTTGAGCTCAGACTAGGTTACATGAGACCATTTCAAAACAAAGTGGTAGAGAGAGGTGGTATGCATCTGATCCCAGCACTGGAGAGGGAGAGGTAATATCAAATGTCAAAAAGAGGAGACAAGCCTCTGGGGAGTGGTATAACAGTGATACGAAAGGTAAGAAGTGGTAAGTCGTGTTAAGAAACAGAACTGGAGCTGTGCAGTGGTGATACATGCCTTTAATCCCAGCACTCGAGAGGCAGAGGCAGGCAGATCTCTTGTTTAAGGCCAGCCTGGTCTGCAAAAGTGAGTTCCAGGACAGCCAGAGCTACACAGAGAGTCCCTGTCTGGAAGTACACACACACACACACACACACACACACACACACACACACACCTGGGATTCTGGGAGTTGTAGTTCTTAAAAAATAAAGAAGCCAGCCAGGCGGTAGTGGCACACACCTTTAATCCTGGCACTTGGGAAGCAGAGGCAGGTGGACCTCTTGAGTTCAAGCCCAGCCTACTCAACAGAGCAAGGTCCAAGACAGGGTTACATTGAGAAACCCTGTCTCAACACACACACCCCTCACCACCCCCAGAAATTAAAAAGCAAACAATGGCCGAAAGTGATGACAGAAATGGCTCAGATGCTAGGAGCCTATATTCTCTTGATACCAGTTTGTCAGACTAATGCTAGCTCCGGGGCATGAAATACCTCTAGCTTCTTCAGGCATCTTCACTTTCTTATGTATACACTCTCTCTCTCTCTCTCTCTCTCTCTCTCTCTCTCTCTCTCTCTCTCTCTCTCTCTCACACACACACACACACACACACACACACACACACACAAAATACTAATTAAAGAATGATCTGGAGAGATGGCTCAGCTAGGATGTTTGCTTTTTATAAATAACATGGGGTATTCACTAGAGAAGACTGCTAGGACATGGGATTAAGCCAATAGAAAAGCTTTATTATCCTGCAGGTAACTACACTCAGTGTTTGGAATCCCAGCATAACTCTGAGATTTCCTTCCTTCCTTCCTTCCTTCCTTCCTTCCTTCCTTCCTTTCTTTCTTTCTTTCTTTCTTTCTTTCCTTTTTTGTTTTTTCGAGACAGTGTTTCTCTGGCTTTGGAGCCTGTCCTGGAACTAGCTCTTGTAGACCAGGCTGGTCTAGAACTCACAGAGATCCACCTGCCTCTGCCTCCCAAGTGTTGGGATTAAAGGCGTGTGCCACCAACACCCGGCACCCTGAGCCTTTCTTAGGGTAGATTTTTAAACACAAAAACCATGTCCTGAGTTAACATACTTCAGTCACAGACGTAGAGCTTCAGAAGCCAAGAAGCAAGGTTAGTACATTTAGAAACTTTTCCACAATGATGGACTAGGTAATACTGTGTGCTATTTTATAGCATGAATGGTATTTCCACCATGGAGTCAGTTGTGCTATGGTCTGGTGGCCTGCTAAGCTAGGTTACCATGTTACATAACCATGGCATAGTTTTAGAAAGAGCTCAGCAGTTTAGAGCACTTGTTTTTCTTGCAGAGAACCGAGGTTTGGCTCTCAGCACCCATACTGTAGTTTATAAACATTTATATCTCCAGCTCCAAGGATACAATTCCTGCTTCTGACCTCTGTGGGCACCAGCCGTGCAGATGGTACACATACATACATTCAGGCAAACACTCATATACATAAAATAAATAAAACAACAACAAAAAAATAGTTACGGCAGCTTGACCCAGAGGTGTCATTTCCTAGCAGCAATAGTCAATTCATTTATGTCTTTTTTTTTTTTTTTAATGCATGCTATACAAACACTACCACTAAGCTATAGCCTATTCCTTTTCCTTTTCCTTGTTTGTTTGTTTGCTTTTCCAGACAGGGTTTCTCTGTGTAGCTAGCCCTGGCTGTCCTGGAACTAACTCTAGACCAGGCTGGCCTCAAACTCACAAAGATCATCTCAAGCGCTGGGATTAAAGGCCTGAGCCGCCACCACCACCTTTTTCCTTTTCCTTTTTTATTTTTAGGGTCTTTTCTAGAACTCATTGTTTAGACCAACTGGTCTTGGGTTCACAGAGCTCCTCCTGCCTGTCTCCTGGGTACTGGGATTAAAGTGTGCACCGCCATGCCCAGCTCATAATTTTTTGGTTTTTGTTTTTTTTTTGGAGGTACTGGAGCTCACTCTGTAGACCAGCCTGGCCTTGAATTCAAGAGATCCACCCACCCCTGTCTCCCAAGTGCTGAGATTAAAGGCCTGAGCCACCATACCCGGCTTAATTTAATTTCTGAAACTTGCCTCCTGAGTAGCAGGGACTAGAAGTATGTGTTATCGCCTTCAGCTCAAAAGTTGTTTTTTTGTTTGTTTGTTTGTTTGTTTTTGTTTTTTCAAGACAGGGCTTCTCTGTATTGCTTTGCCTGGAACTCACTCTGTAGACCAGGCTGGCCTTGAACTCAGAGAGATTCACCTGTCTCTGCCTCTGGAGTGCTGGGATTAAAGGTGTGAGCCACCGACACCTGACTAAAAGTTGTTGTTGTTTTTTTTTAAAGACACTTATATTATTATTTATATTTGTGTACTTGCATATGAATGCAAGTGCCATCAGAGGCCAGGAGCATTGGATGCCCCTGGAGCTGGCATTATGTGGTGTTTCAAGCTACCTAATATGGATGCTTCATCCTCTGGAAGACCAGTATATTCTCTTACGTGCTGTGCTGGCTACTTATGTCACCTTGACACAAGCTGGAGTTACTGGAGAGGAGGGATCCTCAACTGAGAAAATGCCTCCATTAGATTGGGCTGTAGGGAAGGACTTAAATCTGCCCTTCTCTGCTGCTCCTTTTTAGTCCTGGCTATGGCCATGTTTGCCCTGGAAAATCTGATGTCTGACCTATTTTGGGTTCTGACAGTTTGCTTTTTCAGCATTCACTCACTGAGGGCTGCTGGCATTTTCTTTTATTCTCTTTTTTGCTTTTTGAGACACTGTCTCCAACTGGGGTGATGGTGGCACACACCTTTAATCCCAGCTCTTGGAGACAGGCAGGCAGACCTCACTAAGTTCTCTGTAAGTTCAGGGCCAGCCTGGTAAGTTCCAGGACAGTTAAGAGCTACACAGTAAGATCATGTCTTTTCTTTTTATTTTCTTTGATTTTTCAAGGCAGGGTTTCTCTGTGTAGCCCTGGCTGTCCTGGAACTTTCTCTATAGACCAGGCTGACCTTGAACTCAGAGATCTGCCTGCCTCTGCCTCGAAACTACTGGAATTAAAGGCATGCACCATCCCTGGCTGGTATTTTCTTTTCTTTGGTTACTAACCACTGTCCCAATTCTAAGCCCTAAGGCTTAGGATCATGAAAAGCAGGGATTCTGGTCTACCCCCGAGCTGCTAAGGCAGATTCAAGTGTAGATATCTGAATTCTGACAGAGCAGCGCATATGACTTTGATAACTGGCCTGATGGAAATCACTGACTTATTTTTTGGGGGGGGGGCACTTATTGGGTCATCTCAAGCAGGCAGGTGATTTTAGCTTCCTTCAGTCTTCCTTTGCTCTCTAATCCCCTAGTACAAGACTGGGTAGGTCAGGCTCACTTGCAATGCAAAGTATGGAATAGTGAAGGGATCAGGCTCTAGGCTACATATTATAGATTATCTCCCCAATTTTATATATGCCTATAACAGGGTCTCAGACTTAGTAAGCCCTCAAGACCTTAGCATAACTGCCTCCATGATGGAAGTGTACTATTCAGGCTGTAAAACTCGCATGAGGACAGTACCACATAGCAAAACTAAAACAAAGGCCTAATCCATCAAAGTCCATAGATGTGGGATAGTCTTTAAATGTACTAACCTTGCTTTTTGGCTTCTGCAGTTCTGCTGCTGGCTAACTGTTCTTGTTGATTGAAGTATGTCAATCCAGAACATGATTTTTGTGTTTAAAAGCTCATCCTGAGAAAGGCTTGGGGCTATACTGTGATCCCAAACACCCAGTGTACTCACTAATAAAGACTTCTTATTGGCTTAAACCCATGTTCGAGCAGTCTGTTCTGGTGAATACCCGACAACAATGTCAAAGTTGAAACTGAAGCCAGGTGTGGTAGCACACACCTACAATCTCAGCTATGGGGTGGTGGAGGCAGGAGGGCGGCTGAGGATTTGAGGTCAGCTTGGACTATCCAAGCAATTTTGAGGTCAGTCTCAGCCACAAAACCAGAACATCATCTCAAAATAAAAATTAAGAGGCAGGGGCTGGAGAGGTGGCCCAGAGGTTAAGAGCACTAGCTGCTCTTCCAGAGGTCCTGAGTTCAATTCCCAGCAACCACATAGTGGGTCACAACCATCTATAATGAGATCTGTTGCCCTCTTCTGGCCCCCAGTCTACATACAGGCAGAATGCTGTATATGTGATAAATAAATAACTCTTAAAAAAATAAATAAATAAAAGGCTAAGGCTGGGTGAGTCCAAGCACTTTTGGTTAGAATTTTTCTTTGTTAGTTTATTTTGAGATAGGATCTCATGTGGCCCAGGTTGGTCTTATTTGCCATAGAGCCAAGCTTTCCTTGAACTCCTAATCCTCCTGCCTCCACCTCCAAAGTGCTGGTTATTTTTATACATGTATATTTTGTCACTTTGGTTTTTTGTTTTGTTTTTCTTTAGTTTTTCAAGACAGGGTTTCTTTTGTAGTCCTGGCTGTCTTGGAACTAGCTCTGTAGGACAGGCTGGCCTCAAACTCACTGAGATCCACCTGTCTCTGCCTCTCAAGTGCTGGGATTAAAGGTGTGCACCACCACCACCTAGTTTGTCACTTCTTTTTGAGGACTGAGGCCAAATTCGTGTTTTACACTTCCTAAGTTCCTAATATTGAATACAGGAGTTTAATAGTTATTCATCAAATAAGGAAAAGAAATTAAAGACAGGGTCTCAGTGTAATCCTGGAAGCCTGGAGCTCCCATGCAAATGGATGGTGTTATATACCCAAGAGATAGGCATCTTGATATTGAGCTGCCTTGTAGGTGTTGTGAATTAAACCCGAGTCTTCTCTGAAAGAGCAACAAGTCCTTTTAATAGCTGAGCCATCTCTCCAGTCCTTATCTTGATGATTTCTCTAGACTCAACATGTACCAACTTTTTGTTTGTTTGTTTGTTTGTTTCTTTTCCGAGGCAGGATTTCTCTGTGTAGCTTTGGAGCCTATTCTGGCACTCTCTCTGGAGACCAGGCTGGCCTCGAACTCACAGAGATCCTCCTGCCTCTGCCTCCGGAGTGCTGGGATTAAAGGCATGCACCACTAACGCCCGGCTATTCTTAACCGTCTTAACTGCAAACAGAACCCTTCTTCTTGTTCTTTTTTAAAGACTGGGTCTCATCAGGCATGGTGGCACATGCCTGTAATCTCAGCACTTGGGAGGCAGAGGAGGGCGGATTGAGAGCAGCCTCGTTTACATACTAAGTTCCAGGACATCCAGGACTTACACAGAAACCCTGTCTCAAAAAAACAAAAACAAACAAAAAGAGTGGGTCTCATGTAGCCCAGGCTGGCCTCCAGATTGCTGTGTAGAGGATGAACCTAAACTTCTGATCGTCCTGCTTCCAGCTCTTGATGCTGAGATTACAGGGAGGTGCCACTACAAGTTATGTGGTCTTGGGGGTAGAATGTAGGAGTTAAAGCATACTAGAACACCCTACTGAGCTACATTCCCAGGCGCAGACTCCTGTTCACTGAAGAGGAAATGAAGTAAAGCAACACATTTGGCTCATTGTAAGCATTCAGTAAGCAGCAAGTCCTGTTTTTATTTTACACCCTAGTGATCTTATCCTGCTTATGGGTTGATTAGGGACTCTGAACGCTAACTACCAAGAATCGAGCCAGGTCCCTTCCGCACAGTGGTAGAAGGGAGAATGGGGGAAAGAACGTTTATTAGTTCGAAACTTGAAAACCATTCAGAAAACCGCACAGACGACAGACGAGACAAGGGCAAGCTGTCGGCACAGCCCTAGAGCTTGGGACGGTGACGGCGACGAAGCCACGGTTTTGCTGGTGAACAGACCCGGGACAGCTTGTGCTCAGGTGTGAAGCCTCCGCAGTGCTCACCATCTAGCCAGAGTCTGAAGCAAAAACCAAGCCAAATGTGGAAGTCCTCCCTGGCCGATGAAACCAGCCCCGCCACTCAGGCCAGAAGTACTATCCGGCCGCGACTCCCGCGATGCAACACGGTAGGCGGAACCGGAAGATTCGTATGGCAATCGTAGGGGGCCGGCCGAGCTCCGTTAGAGCAGCTAATTGGTCAGTCCGTGGAGGCGGCGGCGGCGGCGGCGACGGCGACGGTGTGCGCGACTGGCACCTTGGTGCGGTAAGTCTTGAGTTTCCCCTGTTTGCTTCTTCCAACGTAGCTGTGACTTCTTCGGGCGGACCAGGACTCTGGCTTTCCAGTCGCTACCTGGAGAGGCCAGTCAGTCTAGAGTGTCGCGTTTGGCCATGTTTCTGCCGTTGTATGCCAGGCAGTCTGACCAGAACTCATGAGGAACATTATTGTATGGCTGGGCGAGCGAGAGACAGATGAACCCGTCACTAGAGAGGAGAGAGTCGGGGGTAGTGACGAGGAGGACGGCAGAGTCTACAACAGCCTTGAAGGAACATCTGTAGGGCTGGGAAAGAGGCTTCGGTGGGCCTGACAACTTGGGAGTTCGTTTCTTTCCTCAGCCTTGCCGCCATTGTAGGCGTGTGCCATCCTCTAGTGTACCGTTAGGGACGGTTTCCGTGGTATATTATTGAGGATACCTTGCGGGGAGCTCAGTAATTATCCGAATACTCCCGGTTGTACTACAAATACCACACCTTAAATTAATATGTCACTTAGAAAATTTTCTAAATAAGCATCCTTAATGTATTAATGATATAGAAATGTGGCTTTCTTTTCTTCCTTCCTTTCTTTCTTCCTTCCTTCCTTCCTTCCTTTCTTTCTTTTCTTTTCTTTTTTTTTTTTCTTATCTCCTGGGTCTCAAACCCAAGGCCTGGTGCAAATATTCTACCAACTGAGGTATATTCCATTCCCTTTTCTTTCTGTTTATTTTTATGCGTCATGTATTCACATTTAAAAAAGAAAACGTGTATGGGTGTTTTGCCTGCATGTCTGTGCACACATGAGTGCAGTGCTGGGGGAAAGAAGAGAGCTCCAGTTCCCTGGAACTGCTTTACAGATGGTCATGAGCCACCATGTAAAATCCAGGTCCTGTGGAAGAGCTGTCAGTACTCTTAATCTAAGAGCTGAGCCATCTCCCCGGTACCCTCCCACCCTATATCCCTACATCCTGTCTCCCCCTCCAATCCCCCCCTTTTTTTTCTCATTTTTTTGAAACAGGGTTTCTTGGTGTAGCTTTGTAGACTTACAGCTTCCCCTCCTCCCTATCCAACGCCCCACCCCACCCCACCCTTTTTTTTCTTTTTTTCAAGACAGGGTTTCTCTGTAACAGTCCTGGCTGTCCTGGAATTTGCTTTGTAGACCAGGCTGGCCTCAAACTCACTGAGATCCACCTGCTTCTGCATCCCAAGTATTGGGATCAAAAACATGTACCACCACTCCTCTCTTTTAATGAGATCATTTTTCATTCTGTAACTCAGGCTGATTGGAACTTGGTGAAATTCTCCTGTCTCAACCTTCCAGGTTTTGGATAACATGGGCAAACTACCACAACCAGTTAGAAAATCAATTTTGCAAGATGGAAATAGTTGGTAACAATGTAAAGATATTCCCACTGCAGAACTGTATACTTAAATGGTTAAAATGGTGAATCCATGTGTATTAACCTCACCCCACCCTCCCAGCCCATCAAAACCAAACACTGACACTGAGTTACAAAGCCAGCTGCTTAGCTACATTGATTGAAGGACTTGGAATTGAACCTAGGAGCACTACACACACAATGGAAGCACTTCTCTATTGAGCTACTCCTCTTTAAAAGATTTATTTATTATTTATATGCCTAATTATGTATATGTACTCCATGTGCTTGCCTGGAGAGGCCAGAAGAGGTGTCAAAGTTGTTGTGAGCCAGTGTATTGGTGCTAGGAAAGGAACCCAGTTCTTCTGCAGGAATGGCAAGTGCTCCTAACCCCTGAGACATCTCTACAGCCCATTTGTGAGGCAGGGTCTCAATAGGCCCATCCTTGTCTAGAATTCCCTGTGGATTTGAGATTGTCCTTAAACTGTTGATCCTCATTTCCTGCCTCCTTCCTCTAGTGCTGGGATTTTTAGAGCCTGCTTCCACCTGGTTTTCTCTTTTCTTCCCTCTTCTTTCTTTTTCCAAAGATAGGGTTTTACCAGTTTACCCAGGCTGGTGATGAGCTTATTCTGTAGCCCCGCCAGGCCTTTAACTTGCTATCCTCCTCTCTTACCCTGTGGAATGGCTGAGATTATAAGATTATAGGCCTGACTCATCACAGTTTTGTTTTTATTTTGGAACAGAGCCTCTTTAATGTATTCCTGGCTGGCTGGGAACTCACTGTATAGATCAGCCTGGCCTTGGTTTGCAGTGATCCTCCTGGGTGCTGTGGTTATCAGTGTGCACTTCTGCACCTGGTTACCACATTTTAATCGTTTATGTATTTATTTACTTGTTATTAACAACCAAAGAATTAGGTGTCATTGTGACATATTCAGACAAAATCTGTTTTTATTGTTTTTCTTCCCACCTACCTCACCCCGTTGTGCCTTTCTCCCTGTCTTCTTTCTGTGTTCATGCCATATATATTCTTATTTTTTGTTTTTTTCCCCCTTTTAAAAAGATTTATTTTTATTTCCCATTTCCTGTGTATGAGTGTTTTGCCTGTATGTATGTATGTATGTATGTGTAACATGTACATGCCTGGGGCCCTCAGAGGCCAGAAGAGGGCATTAGATCCCTGGAAGTGGAGTTACAGATGCCTGTGAGCTGCCATGTCAATGCTAGGAACCAAATTCAGGTCCTTTAGAAGAGCAGCCAGTTTTTTTTTTTTTGTTGTTTGTTTGTTAGGTCGGTTTTTATTTTTTTGTTTTTTTGTTTTTTTTTTTTTGAGACAGGGTCTGTTTATCTTAACTCACTTTGTAGACTGGGCTGTTCTTGAACTCACAGAGATTCACCTGCTTTTGCCTCTCAAATGCTGGGACCAGAGGTATGCACCACCATACTCCACATGGAACCAGTATTGTTAACTGCTGAGCCATCTTTGTCACCCCCTCCCAAACACCTTTTTCAATACATTTTGCTTCCCTCTTGTGTACTCTTTTTTTTTTTTTTTTTTTTTTTTTCTTTCAGTATAATAAAATTAAAATATATGTATATATATATTTTTAATTTTATTTTATACTTTAACTTTATTTTATGTGCATTGGTATAAGGATACCATATCCCCTGGAACTAGAATTACAGACAGGTGTGAGCTGCCATGTGGATGCTGGGAATAGAACCAAGGTCCTCTGGAAGAGCAGCCACTGCTCTTAACCACTGAGCCATCTCTCCAGCCCAAAGTTTATATTTCTAAGCCTTCACTGCCTCACCTAAAATTATGCTTTACAGATACATCACTTTTCTGCCTTTTTAATTGAATATGCCAAATTCTCTCTCTCTC